GTATACGCAAGGAGATTTTTTCCCACCAAATATTGCTGCATTTTTTATTAAAATTTGGGTCATTTATGAGCACTGTATTTTTCCTGTAATTATCACTACCCATAATCACTAATACTGTCCTATCTCTTGCAACAGGAAATGTTAACAGTTTCTCAAGCTGAGGCTCAAGCCACAGGTTAATCCCTGTCTGCTAATCTCAGCAGCCCTATCTGAGGGCCAAGGAACCACCGATGCAGGTTATGAAATTGCCAAAATCGAAGTGTGAATCAGGCAGCAATACCCGAAGGCTGGAAAGTCTATCTTGTTTCAGGGTGGGTTTTAAACCTGTGGGACCCTCGGAGTCGCAGCCAGACTAAACTTAACATATTCTGTAAATCTTTGTCTGGCTTTTGAGGGGTTCCCTTCCCCTCCTCTCTTCCTCAGGACTCTTGACTGGCAGCTGCTATGTGCTGACCTCTCTTGTCTCCTGCTTCAGTCCCAGAGAATGTTCTGTGTGTTCTGTGTTCTATGAGACTCTCCAGGGGGCTTGCACGGAGGTGGACCCAGCCATAGAGCCAATCCACTAGAGAGAAGAAGGGTTATCCCTCCACTGAAGGCATGCCATTAGTGAGATCCGATGAGGACACTGATGTCTGCAGGATGGAAGGGCTGGCTGCAGCAGACATGCAGAAACAGCAACAGTACTGAGTGGCCAAACACTCAAAAGAACATAGAGAACGACAAGTGGGAGAGAAAGGACTTGGTGATGCAGAAGCGTGTGGTGCAATGAGAATGTGAGAGGCCTGGGCTGGGTCATAGGCTTTTCTTCTGGGAATCAGTGAAAAAGGTTTGGTGACCTCACAGGCATTTAGACTCTGAGTTGGGAAAAAAAGGTGGTAAGGTTAGACTTGACTTGTATGTAAAAAGTTGCCCAAGGCGGTCGTAAATTGCTTTTCAAATTACGAAAGTAATATACTCCAATAATTACATTAAAAAAGAGATAGCACGAAAGTATCTGACATAACAAGTAACTTGCTCCTCTCTCTTCTTCCCCTCCCCAGTTCCCCAGGGGGAACTATGCTTAAAGTGCAATGTTAAACCAAGTTGCAATGTGTGTTTTCATTCTCACCCAATAGCTAAGTCAACTTTCCGGCAATTACCGATTAGGTAACAAGCTAATTCTCATCCATGTTATTTGACCAATATTTCTTCTGCCTGAAGTGTCCACTCCAATGTAGCTTTTTCTTATCTTGCCCACAAATTACTTAAATTAGAAAATCTTGACAGGTTAATCCCCCAAAACTCCAAATAATATCTTTCTTTCCCTGTCCCCTTTTGAAGTTACCCAATTTGTGCCAGTCAGTTTACTGCTATTAAACAAACAAACACACAAACAAACAAAAAATCTTACCAGGTATTAAATATCTGAACTAAAAAAAAAAAGATAAATTAGGGAGGTTGTGATCCTGTTTACAAAGAGTTCATCACAGGCTTGCTATAATCAGGAAGACACGTAGGGTGTTAAAACATGTGTTTATTTAGGCTATAAAATTTCTGACTGCGGCAGAAGAGCTCAATTTTCTAGATATTAAGACACCTTTGAATATAGGACACAGAATATATTTGATAACACATTCTTTGAGGATCAGAAGTGCTTTATTAAATGTATTCACAGATTGGAAATCGCATCTTAATTTTGGAAACAGTAAATATAAAAAATGCACATCTTAGAACTGAAGAAATATAGTATCTGAACCACTGCTTCTGAAAGATCCCACTAGTAAAGAAAATGTCCATATACCTTTGATCTTATAAATAAATAGAAAAATACTATTCATTGGGTATACTGAAGAAAAAAGTTTAAATTAAAAACACTTATCCATTGATCAACATTGACATTTTTGAGTTTATCATAACTGTAAAAATTCAAAAGGGGTTATTATGAAATCTATACTGAAAATTGATATAGGAGGTGGTACGGGGAGGATTCCTGAGATCTGCTGATATTAATACAGATAAACTCCCTGCCTATTCACCACCATGGTCTCCATAGCTGCCAACCGCCAAATCTTTATCTGTTTTGTCATTGACTTCCTTCGTCAACATGGATTTGATGGCATTGACCAGCATGTGGAAAATCCAGGGTCCCAGGGGAGCCCACCTAAGGGCAAACAATTTACTATGTCGATTAATGTGGGAATGGAGCACTGGCTCTGGCTCTTCTTGTGGAGAAGCTGGTGTCTTCGCAGATGTTCTGTGAGAGCTGCTTTTCCTGGGGACAGCTCTCAAACAGTGCATCGACCGGTTCATGTGTTTGGGATTGAGGCAACAAAAACAGACTCTCTGGCTGGCTTCAGCCCAAAGAGAGTTTTACAGGAAAGATACAGGTATCTGAAGGAATCCAAGGGAGAAATTCTTGAATTGAGAAGGTAGAACTATTCATTATATAATTTATTTAGTATTTATCAAGCACCTACTGTAATCCAGACCTGTGCCTCACACTGGAGATAAAGCAACGAACAAGACAAACATGATCCCTGCTCTTGTGGGGCTTACAACACAGAGGAGGTTAAGAGAAGGAAGGAAAGAGGGAGGGAGGGAGGGAGGGAAGAAAGGCATCAAATAATTGCTGATGGCGGTTAAGAGAAGGAAGGAAAGAGGGAGGGAGGGAGGAAAGGCATCAAATAATTGCAGATGGTGATAAGAGCAATGAACTCTGTCTCTGGTTTTCCTGGCTATGCAAAATAGAACTGCTCATTATAGCAACAAATAGGACAGTCAGGGAAGTCTTCTCAGAGGAAATGACATTTGAGCTAAGATATGAAGAATCGAAAGGAAGCAGGCATACAAAGGAGAGCAGGAAGGATTTTCTAAGGGACTCATTAACAGTATTGCAAAAGCCTGGAGGCAGGAAAGAGCTTAGCATGGCCATACAAAAATGCCCAGCTAGAGCTTTAAAGGGAAGGTAAAGTCACAGTAGATAACACAGGTCCTAGACCCTCTGCAGGAGTTCCAGGGCTTTTTCTCTAGAATGTCATTAAATGTGACTTGGATTTAAGGACTCTTAGTTCCTGCATCTCTTTGTTCCAATTTATACCTTACCAGGTCATATCCCTATATTTCAGGGGCTATTTCCAGAAAAGGAGGAATTGCTATGAGCTAGAAACCTGCCCAAGAGGTTCTTAGTAGCAGAAACAGATAATAAAGACTGCCACTAAAATCCACCATCTTTTCTCTCTCCAGGAAATGTTAGAAGCTTTTGGAGTGGAGGCTAAAGAAAACAGGATAACCTGGACTGTTGAGATCACAGCAGGTGTATCTGCTAAGGGATCACTAGTGCAGGATGTGAAGTGAGTGCACTGGATCTCTTGGGGTATTTTGATCCCAGAGCAGAGATGCCTGAACTTTGTAAAGGAGAGCATCCCGAGTAGTTATGTAAACATAATGTTGAGAAAATTGGTATCTTTAATTGCCAAAGAAGTTTGGGGACTTAGTGGCTCTAGGGAAAGGTGGTGGCCCCTTACAATGGTCACCGTGGTAGCTTTGGGGAAAAGAGGAACAAGATTCAAGACCATGGCAAATCCTTATAATAGCAATCCTCATTAGCAGTTTCTTTTGAAAAAAAAGCTGTAAAACAAGAAAGCCAAGCAACAAGAGAGCTACTCGCCTGTGATTCCCATGGCCCTAGAGACATGTGTCTCTGAGTCATAAGTTCGTGGAACCTACATTTCCTAACCTGCTTTGGGTTTGCCATTTCTTTCAAGGTTGTAAAGGAGATTTCCTGTCTAGCCCTAAGAGGGTCACAGAAGATAACCTGGAAGCCACATTGTAGGGGCCATATGGTAAGAGGGTCACAGAAGATAACCTGGAAGCCACATTGGAGGGGCCATATGGATATCTACTTAATATCATGGGTTTCCTACTGCTACAATTCCTTGCTTACTTAACATCGGGGCCATATGGATATCTACTTAACACCACATTGGAGGGGCCATATGGATATCTACTTAACATCATGGGTTTCCTACTGCTACAATTCTTTGCTCTTAGATTATATATAAGAAAATGGCCCCAGGATCCTGATGACTCAAAATTTCTGTTTCAGACTCCTTGATTTCATTGATGTGATGACCTATGACTTCTATGGTAGTCACATGTACAGGACACGACAGTCCCCTGCATGTAGTATCTAAGGATCAAGGTGACATGCATTATTTTAATTGTGTAAGAAAGAAAAGCCTTAAGTCATAAGGAAAGAGAAGATTGGGGAGAGCATTGTTGTTGGGAAAGAGGCTTTCTCTTTGGGGGCACAATTAGCTAGTCTTTGTTAATCAAATGGGACAAATACTGGTGAGGAAAAAATGTCCCTATTGCTTTCTTCAGGAATATGCCATGAAGTACTAGAGAGACAATGGGGTCCCTGTGGAGATGCTTATCATGGGGCTCCCCTCCTATGGGAGGACTTTCCAGCTGCCTTGGCACTTCTGACACCTCAGTCTGTGCCCTGGTCTCTGGAGCAGGGTCATCTGGTCCTTACATGCATGAGGCTGGCTTCTGGGCTTACTAGGAGGTAATTGACATGGCTAATTCAGACCGAAAATGCACTGGGGAAAATTCTTTGATTCTCTAAGTCATCCTACTACCCTTCTACTCTTGAATTCCATAACCCTGGCTTCTCATAGCTCTGAGCACAAGCAGCCTGGGAAAAGGCAAGTTGATAGCTGTAGAACACTTTTCACTTAAAAAAAAAAAATTAATCTGAATATCCTTTTTGGGTTTTGAAGTGTATGACACCATTTTCCCCACAGCTCCAAAGTTGGAAAAATATTTCACTAGTCTAGCCTGGGGATGTAAATAATTTAATTTCCCTTCCAACTTGAACTGATTGTGTTTACTTAAATCCTGTGCTGAAAATTCAGACCGATAAATAAGTGATTTGCAGTATTTGCCACCGCACTGAACATGCCACAGGAACCCCATCCACGTACGTATGTATACAACAAACCAGCACGGGGAGAGAGAACATTCTGAACTGGTCTTTATTCTCTCACATGGTAGTTATGAGCTCCTTGCCTCTCTCTGGGCCCCGCGCTGGAAGACAAGAGGGCCGCAGCAGTGCAGAGGGAGAAGAGCAGCTCTGTCCTCCCTCCTGGAGATTCTGTGCACAGGAGGAGCACGTGGAGATCGTCCCAGCTGCTCAATTGTAAAACAGGCTTAGATAGGCCACACGGTTCCGATGCTTTCTGAAGTCTTTGTCGGTGGACAGCTGCAATGAAAGAAAGGTGTCTTGGTCAATATTCTGACGAGAACCCTCTGTCTCTGGTCTTCCTTGCTGTGCAAAATAGAACTGCTCACTATAGCTGTTGTAGCCTAACGAAACCCTACCCCGCAGTCACCTCGCCTTAGCGATTCTCTCAATTTTTATGTGTATGTAGAATCTCTGTCATCTTACTCTGCTGTCTAGCATGGTAAGAATTGTTTTTTATTCAGTAAATCTCTAAGTACGGCTGGTAAACGCCTCGAAAACGAAGATTATATGTTTAATTCTTGCATGTTACCCATAAGCCCTAGCACGATGCTATTAACACATTAGGCATTTAATAAATATTTGTAGAATTATCTGAAGTCCACTAGGAAAAGAAAAGTCACTTTTTTTTTTTTGACATCCAGCTTGGGTAAATTATGATAGCTAATATACATTGAGCGTTTATTATATTATAGATACAGTATTAAGTGCTTTTCTATACTATCTCAATTTTTACAAACTTATCAGATTGATTCCATTATTATACCGTTTACAGATAAGCAAACTGAGGCTTAGAAAAATTAGGGGACTTGCCCAAGATCACACAGCAAGTAAATACTAGAGCTAATATTTGAACCCAGGCAGTCTGTCTCAGAATCCATGCTCTTACCAGAATGTTCTACAGCCTCCTGATGATGTAATACTCAAGTAATATGATGGAAAGAGCACTGGCTTAGGAGTCACAAGATCTAGATTCAAGCTGTGCAACTTGCGCAAGTCACTTAATCCATCTGAGTCTTGATTTCCTCTTCTATCATATAAGGATAATTCTCCTGTATCTACCACAGAAAATTATTTGAGGATTAAATAGAAAATGTGACTTTTGTTCAGTCATGCGCATCTTTAAAAATCGAATAAAATTGTGTAACTTTCCAAAAAGACCCCCACGTGTACATACACAGAAAACTGTGCATATAATTTCAGGGAATGAAGACTTTCTGCAGCTCATTTCCAGACCCTGGTTAAGAACCCGCGACACACACGGGAGGACTAGAGTGTGTGCTCTACAGAAGCCCGATGTCATTACCTCAGCTTTTAGGGTTCTCTTCTGTAGACATGGAACCTGAGCCCAGTCTGGAGATCCAAATTTCATTGGCCAGGTGATTCTGGGGGGTGGCTTTATTTCTGGGTTGTATGTGCCAGGGCTAGAAATAAAAATACCAATAACATCACGTCTAATGAGTTACTGACCATAGACGAACTCCATCAGTACCACTGCTGTCCCTGAGGCCTAACTCTTTGGGAAAAGGCAACAGTCTGATCCGCTTTTTTATGTCAGACATGCATGGGGTTCCTTTGCTTAATGTATTTCTAATTAAGTGTTAGTGTGAAAGATATCTAGTCTCGACATCCCCCTTGGGTAAAAATTGACTCTAGCTTCAAAGATATTTCTGCTACTCGGTATCCTTAGCTGAGAGACCAGAAGATCCCAGAAGTGGTGGACAATAAGAGGGATCTACCTTAGTGATGAATTAGTACTGCCCATGATCCAAAGTTGGGGATAACAGTGCAGTGATAATTTAATCTATCAGCAGTCTAGGGGCACCAAGCAGAACCAGTTCAATTTTCTTGACAATGAGATTATTTTACAATTGCTCTTATTCATGACACTTTGTGTTTTGGTGTAGTCTGTGCTGTGGTGGAAATAACGCTTAGAGCAGACGTGGGGTCCAAGATTCGACACTTCCACTTCCTTACTGCAACCTTAAGAAAGTGACATTTACTCTCTGATCCTTGGATTTCTCATCAGTAAAAGAAAAATCTTGACCCTTTGCCCTATAATTCCATCCATTCTGAATGGCTTTCTCAAGCACTTACACTATGCCCCTTGATCTACAGACTATGGAGTCCAGCCCCGTCCCTCCTCCTCTTTGCTTACTACACTGTAGCCATACAAACCTTCTTTCTTTTTCTCTCAAACTAAATTCATTTATGGCTTTTGCATTTGCTGTTCCTTCTGCCTGGGAAGCTCTGAGACCAGATCTTCTCAAGGCTGGTTTAGTTTTATTCTGATTTCAGATCAAATGTCATTTCCCCTGAAAGGCCTTGCTTGACGATCTTTGATAAAGTAGCCTCCGGTCTATCATTCCATATCATATCATCCTGTTTTATTTTTTTTCACAACACATCACTAGGTCACCATATTTCCCGGTTTGCCCATGACAGTCCTAGCTTATGGCTATCTTCTTGGTATAATTATTAATAAGGCTCCTTTTCACTCTCAGACGTGTCATGGTTGGACTGATAAATTACATGGCCTCTCCTTATTACTATTGATATTTTCTGGTTTATTTGCTTCTCATCTGTTTAGGCTCCACAATGTAAGCTCCAAGAAATCAGGAGCTTTGTGCGATATGTTTAACGTAAAATCTCGAAAGCTACAAAACTGCCTGCTACATTTATAAATATTTATTAAGTGAATCGCTATGATTTACAATTCTATGATGCCAGAGATCTGGAAGGCAAGAGGTTGAATCTTTAAGATGAGTGGTTATTGAGCTGGCATGGTTGGGGTATAACCCCTTCTTTGTACTTCCTTTCCTGTCACTCTTTACTGAAATGTACCAGAAAAGAGGAAACATACCCAGGAAAATACGTGTCCTTTGAGTATGTCCTAAATCGAGGCAACAAGGTATTAAATGGAGCAAAATTTTGTTTGTGTTTTTGCTCCGGATTTACTGTCTGGTACGTGCTGGGGTTAGGTGTCATATCCTGTTTCCGAGAAAAAGATCAATATGTTAGAGGGTGATATATATACATATAAAGCCTTCTAAGTAGGAAAAAAAAAAAACCCACAGAATCATCCTCTCCCTGTTTATATATCAGCTACAATTTAACCACCTCCAGCAATAGAAATAGGCCTATGGTAGGTAGAAAACCAAGGTAAAGATGTGGTTCAGGTACCTAAAGATACAAGCTTAGGTTGTAAAAATCAGCCTAGGCTGGGTGGGAAACCGAGGTTAACTTGTTGCAGCTACTACCTCCACCATCTCACTCAAGAGATTTTTTTTTTTTTTTTTTTAAGGGTCAGTATCCCTCTTCTTGAGCTTAATTGTCAGGAAAATGTCCAAAAGATTAGGATTCTATCCTGAAGACTTTTAGACTTGAAATTCAATTACACAAAAGAGTGGAAAAGTTAGAATTTGTTTTTTAACTGACAAGATAATCTGATGCAGATAAACAAAGCTTCCAGTATTTTAATATCTCAGCACTGAAGCTCTGTCATGGCACTATTTCTTCCTAGAATTGTTTTTCCGCTCTCCCAGGACACTCACGTACACACATTTGCAATGCTAATGCCCAAGATTTTCAGATAGATAACAGCTTTAGCTTAGACATCTATTTTTCTTGAATTTCGGCACATATTGCCTAGGCAACCTCCCACTCTCTGCCCTTTGCTCCCCAATGCAAATGCATGCAACAACATGGATCACACTAAAATTTAAGCACAGTCAACCATTTCTAACCTTGATTGGCTTAAACCTCACGGATGTTCTGGCTCCAAAAGCATATCCTTTTCTACTGGTCGGTATCCTAGAGAGGTTGTATGCCAATTCATACACATTCTTTGGGTAGTATATAAAAAAAAGAAAAGAAAAAAGATAAAGAAAAAAGAAAAAACAGAGAAAGTTATAGTCATCAAAACAGACTGAACTTAGAATGTTCTTATTTGACTCTTCTATGCAAAAGTTGCTCTCTATTGACCCTTTTGAATCAGAGCCATCCAAACAATTACATAAATAACACAGGTAACTTTGCAAATGTGTCTAGATAGATAAAGTGACATTTCTATGCCTTCCAGTGAATCCAGTCCCCTGAGCCCCAGAGAGCTGATCTTGTTATTTCATAAACTGACCTACAAGTACATCCACAGCCCAGGCTTGGACTAATGGGAGGGTAATTGGCGTTGGTTCACAGGACTTTGGAGGTGGGAATAAAGTGGGGACTATACCGGGGACTATATGAAACAAAGGCTTGCATTTGGTGGGGGTCGGAAGGGAGAGCAATGGTCCTTTAATTTCCGACATTGACCCTGACAGCTGGTTGCAGGGCACCTTTCACGTTGGGACACTGATTCCACAAATTCTGTAGCTCTTCTTCCAAGAAACGGGTGTCTTTAGGTCGGTGGGGAACTGAGACCCACCTAAGGGAAGGTGAATACTCACATTTTCTGCTGTGTAACATCCAGGCCCTCTGTGAGGTTCCCCCCTAAGAGGGAGAAACTTGTTTCCCAGAGAGTTTGGGGGATGGAAGTGAGGAAAGAGCTTCCTCTGTTGACATGTTCCAAAGGAGTATTGAAGCAGCGACTCTGAAGATCAAGAAAAGGAGAAATTCCACATGAGGGAAGCCCTCACTTAGAAGGGTCTAGGTGAGGGCGTTGGTGGTGAGTGGGGTGTGGGGAGGCGGAGCAGAGAACAGGGCCCAACGAGCTCTTGAGAACCAGAGCAGACTCCAGGAAGGGGAGCAAACTGCATCTCCTCATTCCGTCTTTCCCAGCCTCCCCAGTCTCCCCCTCGCTCTCTACTCTTGACCCCTCTACTGCAGCCCTCCTCACCCGCTTTGTTGAAGCACATCGCGCGTGCTGCTCGGGTTAGCACTTGTGTACTGCTACTGCGTTGCTAAGGGAACACAGGCAAGCCCGGCGAGCCCCGCAAGCCTCAGCCGCGGCGCTTCCCAAGGGCAGTGGCTCCGAGCGCGCCTGCGCAGCCGGCGGGGGCGCCCGAGAAGCAACGGTTGCTGCGGGAAGCCGCGCCTCCCGGGCGGGAAGTCCGGGGGAGTGTGGACTCTGCAGCTGCGCCGAGGGTAGTGGGGTTTGCTGGACCCGTAGCTGTAGGGGCTGCTGGGGTGAAGGGGTGGACCGAAGGGCTTTGGAGACTGGGCCACCGGGAATGCGCCGAGGAGAGAGGGACGCTGGGGCTCAGAATGCCTGGAAATTCCTGCAGCTGGGATCAGGGGAGCAGCCGCTTGAGTGATGGCGTGGCGAAGTGGGCTCCCAGACAATGCCCAGGATAGGGGAATTGGGGACCAAATCGGGGCCCCAGTTAGACCCATTTTTCCTTTTCCTCAGCCCTTCTCATCGGGTTCCCTTCTTCCCCTAAGCAGGGCGTGAGGCTTTAAAAGGGCAGGAAGCCTTGAGTGGAGCAGTAAGGGTGCAGTAGAACCACAAAAGTGCTTAATAATTTTAAAATCTTGGGCAGTCACTTCAACGTCTAGGTCTCAGTTTCCTCATCTCTATAATGGGAATAATAATTCATTCTTAATAAGGTCGTTGAGAGGATTAAGATAGCAGGATTAAAGCACTTCAGTGCCTGGTACTTGGTAGGTGACAATGCAGGAAGGTGGTTACTGAAAACCATATCGGGCCAGCTCAGGAGCGCTCCCATCCCAATCCACAAGGAAACGTCAGGGTGTATGTATGTCGACTCCTTTACCTTCGTCCTGGGTATTACCGCTAACTTGTTTTCGCTTGACTTTAGGATGGCTTCAGGTGTGGGAGGTAACAGAAACACCCAGGTGCGACGGATCCATACAACCCTTTAACCCCTGAGGATGACCCTGGGCTGGCACTGTCTGCAAGGATGATTTCATAGATCTAATGTAGGTTTCCAAAAAGGGTGATGCCAAGTCCCAGAAGATATTTTACATACTTGTAGAAGCATTTTCCCTGTTAAAAGTTATTGCGGGGGATGCTCCTGGTCAATAGGCTAAAGAGACTGGACACCCAGGAGTGTATTGGTTATGCAGTCAATTGGGTCATGTCCTATGTAACATTCAAATACCCTGCTGGACTCTACAAAAATAATTGGCTGTACTTGACTTACATATAATAACATTGAAAAATTATTATCTATAATAACATTTTTTTTACAAGGAATAATGCAGAAAGTGCGGTAATATAGGAGAAGGTTGTATGGAAGCAAAGCCTAAATGGAATAAAAGATATGGTCTTAAAGTTACTGTGTAATTTATTCCAGGCATTCTGTCTACTCAAAGTACAGTAATACCGATGGTAAATAAAATGTAAATAATCTCGGCATTGATTGGTCACTTTCACTTTTCATATTTTAGGTAAAATTAATATTTTTAGGTACTCGCAGTATTTTTGAAATTAGTATTTACATCGTGAGTGATGTGAAACATGTTTTACAAAGTGCTTTGAAAATATGACAACCTGTCCCCTCATTGGTGGTCTGGTTTGCTTCCAACTCATCCTCCAGCAGAGAAGACATAAAAAAAAGCTAGACTAAATAAAATATATATATTTGAAGACATTAGAGATACAGCAAGGAAGAAAGAACATGCAGGGCCAAGACCCCAGACATAGGGGGAGTCCAAAGTAGTGAAACCAGCTGTTGGTGTGGCTCTTCCCTTTGAACATTTGCTAATTAAAAAGCTGGCTGAGAAGCAGAGAATTTGAGCAGAACTTTGAACAGTGTCTGAAAGCTGGGGAAGGAAAATTAGGCTGGGCATGGAGGAGAGAGGACTGGAAAACACGCTGGGCTTTAGTTGGGACCCTAAAGAGACAAACACTAGGAATAAGGGTAAATAAGAAATAGACCAGCTCACAAATAGCCCTAAAGTCCAGCTTCGTATCAACTCAATCCTTAATTGCATTAAGGTGATTGGCTTCTACCCTTATTGCATACCAGAAACAAAAGTACATCATCTATAACTATAATATCATCCAGGACCTCAACAAATTTTTTATGATTTTTTTCATGCAAAATGTTTCGCATTTAATATAAAACAACCAAAAATAAATAAAAATAAGCCCAAAGGAAATCTAGATATTTGGAGTTACCAAACATGGACTTTAAAATAACTGTACCTAGCTTGAGATTTTGGAGGAACTCTACCACAGGGTGAATAGAGGAGGCAAAAGAAAACAAGGAAATATGTGGCTATACAGCAAATTTTTGGCTTCTGAGGTTAAAAGCCCTAAAAACAAAGTCAATAAAGATCCCAGTGTACTCAATGAAAGAGAATTTTCTCTCATCAATCTTCCTGTTCGAGTTACTAATATAACACACAACTGGGCCTGTTTACATCCTGATTGATGCAAATTTATCAACTTTTCCTTAAGGCCATGCCAAACATAGTAGAGTCAGAGATGGAATGTCTATGTGCCACATCCCTCTCCTGTATAATCAACTGTCTAATGGTAAAAGTGAGAAGTTAAGGCAGAATTTCAGGTAACCTTGAGGACTGTCAAGATCCACCATTTGAATGATGATCATGCACAAAGAAACCTATGCAGGTGAACAGCTGCTTAGTATAGAAGAATACTTAGACAAAGTTTTATATTGTGGCCACTTTTGATGAAGACCTCCACAAAGAATTCAGCAGTTCCCTTCGCATACATTTCTAACCATCATTATAACATCAAAAGGACGCCTGATGTGTATGGAGACTATCTGTTATAGCTATGAGACAGTTATCTGCTTTTTCGTTTGACTACTATGAGGCCATTATAATTATTATTCCAGGAAACCACCTGCTCTGTTGCAGTGGTCTAATTGAATAGGTAGATTTGATTTGTGGTATAATGTTTTAAATAGAATTTGTCTCGTTAAATATTTTTTTGGATTAAGTAATAATAAATCAGTTCAGCAAAGAGAATAAAGCTGATAATTACATCCCAGAAATTAAATGACAAGATGGAGAATCTTAGAAACAAAGAAAAGGAATCAAAATTTGCAGAAAGTGCCATCAATGTAAGTAAGAACTCAATTCATGGGTTTAACAGCAGATTATAAAAGCAGAAGAAAAGAATTCATGAAATAGAAAATGAATCAGAAGAATGTACCCAGATTGAAGACTGGAGAGGCAAAAGGATGGAAAATAAAGGAAAAAAAGTGAAACGAAAAGGAAAACAATGAAAAGGTTTAACATATAGGTATTTGGAGTTTTACAAGTAATGGAGAGAGAGAATGTGGCAGAGACAAAGAGCTGAAGAGAGAATGGCTGAGAATATTCAGAACTGTTGAAAAACATTGAACCAAAGATTAACAAATGCTACAATCTCAAGTAAGACAAATACAAAGAAAATGTCACTTGGTCATATCATAGTAAAACTGATGAAAATCAAAAGGAGAAAATCTTGAAATCAACCAGATAAAATAGGCTCATTACTTTAAAAGAAGCAATGAGAAGCCTGATGGCTGACTTTTAAGAAGAAACAATAGGAGTCAGGCAACAATGAAATGGTATCTTTAAGTGCTAAAGTAATAATAGTAAAAGGATGGAATACATATTCCATATGAAGACTAGCAAAAAGAAAGTGATCGTGTGTATACCAAACCATCAAGGGTATGAGGGGCAGAAGAAAGCTGAGGAATTATTCCTGATTGAAGGCTGTAGATGAAACATGACAATCTAATGTAACTCATATTTCTAGATAGGATCCTGGATGAGGTAGGAAAGATATGTTGTCGGTACAGTTGGCAAATCTGAATAGGGTCTGTGAATTTAATAGTAGTGTATCAACGTTGACTTTCAGATTTGGTAGGGTTGTATGGTAATAATGTAGGAGAGAATCTGCAGGAGAGTTATACTAGACTTTTT